GTGGGCACGAAGAAGGACAAGCGGGCCAACGGGCGCCGGCGTCCCCGCCCCCAGCCGGCGGCGTGGATCCCCTTGCCTGAGGTTGCAAGCCCTGTTAGTGCATGCGTGCGTGATATGAAACAAAAATCCAGGAATAAAGGGGAAAGAAGCGTTCACCGGCGGCTTGTCCGGCCCCCGACGAGAGGCAGGCACGAAGGCTCCGACGTCGTCCTGCAGGTAGGGGCGAGGAAGCCGGCGGTCCTGTAACGGGTGGGGGTGTGGACGCAGGGAGGAGGTCGCGCTGGGGCTACCAGCCTGCGTACACCGAGACGTACAGCAAGGAGAGGGGGGCTTGGGTGAATCGCTGCCAAAACCAGAGCAAGTGTCCCATCCTGCCTGCTGATTGCCCGTGCCAGTCCACAGGTGTAGCAGAACATCACGCAGCCCTCGCGTTCGCCGCCTGGGACAACAGCTGGGTGTGGACGCAGGGAGGAGGTCGCGCTGGGGCTACCAGCCTGCGTACACCGAGACGTACAGCAAGGAGAGGGGGGCTTGGGTGAATCGCTGCCAAAACCAGAGCAAGTGTCCCATCCTGCCTGCTGATTGCCCGTGCCAGTCCACAGGTGTAGCAGAACATCACGCAGCCCTCGCGTTCGCCGCCTGGGACAACAGCTTCGTCCTGCAGGACTTCAACTCCCCCCACGGCACCTTCGTCAACGGCTGCCAGGTCCAAAACGCGGCCGTGAAAGTGAGTCCGGGGGATATCCTGCGCTTCGGCGTGGGGGGAGCATCCTTCGAGCTGGTGGTGGATGGGGCTGCCCCGGTGAAGGTGAGTGCTGCTGCCCTGGGAAGGGTGGGTGCTGCAGCCCAGGGATGGCCCTGGAGCTGGAGCAGGCTCCCAGGCTCTTCTGGGTGATCCTGGGCGAAAGGTGTAGGGGGAAACGAAAAGCTTGAGCTCCCTCTGCTGAAGAAAGGCAGGCAGATCGGTAGAGAAAAGGGAAAAGCACGGGACAGGTTACCCAACGGTAAGCTTGGCGTGAGCAAGTTGCTTCTGGAAAATGTCCTTTTCCTCTCTTTGCCTTGTATGTTTTCACAAAAGCTGCTCACTCGCAGAGGCGTTGGGTTTGGGATCAAGCCTAGCGCAAACGAAAAGGTGCAGCCCTGCCCGGCGCGTTGCTCGGCAGCAGCGCGTGTAGCTGGAGATGCCGTGGGGCTCGGCACGGCCAGGGCACCGCAGCCGGACCTTTGCACGTGTGAGAAATCCAAAGCGATAGTAAACGGGGAAAGAGCATGGCTGAACATCGCGGCAGTCTCCTGCCTCCGGGAGAAGAACTGTTCAGGGAGCTCTGTGGAGGTTGTTGGGCAGTAGGGTAATGGTATGGTCAAGGATTGGTAAGTTCCCATATTATTGTGCTTATGTTGGCTCTGTAGGAATCCAGGAAAGTAGATGCGGAGACGGAGCACCAGTTACTCAGCTGTGCGTGTAGCACGCCTGGTAGTGGGGGCCGCAGAGCCTGGTCTCCTAGCAGTGCCCGTGTACACACAAAACGTCTCGGGAGGCAGCCGGTTTATGCGCCCAGGTACTGGCTTTGGAGGTCACGGCAGGAATCCCGGTGTAGCAAGCTGACCTGGAGAATCCAGAGTTGTCCAGAAAGCCTTGGCCAAGAGAAATTTAAAGAAGTGCGCAGCTGCACGATGACGCCGGAGCAGCTGGGGTGCCTGCGCCAGTTTGGTAAATGTGGTGTCGCTGGAGCCGTCTGCTCTTTAATTTCCAAGAGTATGGGCGTAGGAAGCGCTCAGCAAGCACTCCTGCAGCGTGACACAGAGGAAGCCCTGCAGATGCCTCTTCATGGCTCTGGGCTCTGTGACCCTCCTTTGGCGGAGCGGCTCCGGAGGCCCACGGCTCGGAAGCCCGACCCTGCAGAGCGTGAATCACCTCTGCGTTGCTCCCTGTGCAGTGTCCGTGATGCCCAACGTGGGGAGGGCTCTCTCCTCGTCGGTAACATGAGGGGAACGTGTCGTAGAGAGGAGCAGCACCCAGGGCAGGAGTAGTGCCATCCCCGCGGTGCCTCGGAGCACCGTGTCCGGAGAGGGTCAGCGTCATGCTCGGCTGGGACCCGGCCGCGAGCAAGCGCCCAGGGCAGCGTCCCGAGCGGAGTGACGGAGCTGAGCCTTGGCTGTGCTCGGGGAGAAGGCAAGGTGTGGGAGCAGTGGGGACCACGCGCTGGGGTCTTTGGTGCATTTTCGGCAAGGTGCCGGAGGTCTGCACCCAGGGCAGGTCCAAGGCCACGCTGGCAGATGTTGAGGTCAGTCTAGTTCAGCCCGTGTCAATGAGGGCTCTGCGGAAGCCGACCTACAAGACCTTAATGGGGTTGGTTTGTACCGTACTGGAGAGCTCTGCTCGTGAGGAAAGTAGCACGTAGTGTCCCAAATACAGGTCTGACGGGCCCTGCACGAGGTCAGATAAATGTGGTGGGAAGGCGGGAATGCAGTGAGAGGCGTTGGTGCCACGCGGTGAAGGGGAGAAATGACAGGGTAGGAGCGCTGGTGTGCGAGCCAGGAGAGGGGTGAAACGAGGGCTTGGTGATTGTGCAAATGAAATGCAGAATGAGGGTGGTCAAATTGAGAGAGGGGCGAGCTCCCGAAGCACCTAAAGTCTCCAAAAATCCGTCAATTCCAGCGAAGCGTTTGGGTTCCCGACCAAAATCCAAGATGTAGGCAGTGCTAATGGGAAAGGTCTTGATTTCTGCTGACACTCAGATCTGTGCCTGTGTTCTGTAGGACATACTGGACACAAGTCAATCTTGCTGATGCATCTCCCCCCACAGATGTCCTGTCCCCCCGTGAAGCGTCACACAGCGTGGACCGGGCAGCTCCAGCCCGAGAGCGCCCGGGTGAGGAGCGTGGCCACCGCCATCTCACCGGATGCTTTTGGGAGGACCTCGGCAGTGAGGCCAGGTAGCCCCTGGTGTCAAACGGGGTGGTCTGCAGCGTGGTGTCCTCCCTGGCCAACGTAGCCTTGAGTGGAGTTGAGCTGAGCGGAGGGAGGTTTGACACGAGCTGCGGAGTGACGAGCGTTGCCAGCAGTTGAGTGCGAGTCCCTGTCCAGTGGAGTTGATGGGAGAGCGCGCGTGGTCCTTGGTGGCCTGCAGGTCAGTTAGGAAAGGGGCTGTGACCTACAAAGAGGAATGCTGTGGCCCTGGCAGCCGAGAGGGACGTCTCCTCCTCCTTGTTTCTTTGTGTGTGAGTGGGAAGGGCGATGACGAACTCGCTCTGCACGGGTGACTCACGCACCTATTCCAGTCTCGTCTTTGAAGTGATGTTTTTTCCTCCTTTGAAGAGCAGTGAGTGGCTGCCTTGAGTGCAGGGGCTGTAAACCAGGTTCATAGCTGAGATGCCTCTGAAAATACGGTATGCAGTAGCGTTGGAGCAGAGGCGAGGCTTTGGGGGAATAAGTACAGCTGGAGAACCAGACTTGCCGTGAATGTAGCTTGTTATGGCCTGATGCTCAGTCTGGTTGTCTGTCTGGTTCGGGCTCGGGTTGTTTGAATGGTCGTGATTAATGCAGAGTCAACAGCGAAGGGCCGAAGTGCGGCAGGTGCTCCGGAGCACAGGGACTGCTGTGCAGGCTAAGAACGCATGGCCGGGCCGTGCCAACCCCGACCATTCTGTGATTCTGTGATTCTGTGAACCTGAAGCTGCAGTGAAGGTGAAGGGAGGGAAGCAAACGCTCCAAGTTAGCACGTACTTGTTGGATGCTTGGGAAGTGGAGCCAAAAGGATCCGTGCGTGCTGACTGCCAGAAGCATAGCGTGCCATACGTGCCACGCTCTGCAAGTGTAGCATCGTTGTGTGGGGCTGGGCACCGGTGGAAAAGCAGAGGAATCCCAGAATGGTGGGGGTTGGCAGGGCACTCTGGGGGTCACCCAGCCCAACCCCCTGCCCAAGCAGGGTCACCCAGAGCAGGCTGCACAGCACCGCGGCCAGGCGGGGCTGGAATATCTCCAGAG